GGCAAGGGAAAAGTCTAATTGTGATATTAGCTTGTTATGCATATGTATTTTAGATACATTTTGATAGTTCATGTTTTGTAATAATACTACTTTAGTATTATGAGAATGATGATGTGAATTATGTGTATTTGAGATGTGAGGGTTGTTACAACACCTCCTAAGGTTTCTTCATTGTATGCTGAATCTTGAGTAGACTTCACACATTTGTAGACAAACTTGTTATCACTGAAACTGCATCAAATCATGAACTTCTTGTCTTTGTCTTCAACTTTATCTTCGATATCACTAAAGGTTCTTGTGGTGTGAGTTTTGTCTTCTTGAGAGATACAATACTTGTTCAACGATCACTGAACAGAATCAGTGATGATCGTTGAAACTAAACAAAGAGAAAGTACTTTTTGTTAGATAAAATGATCATCATCAAATCACTGAGAGAAGATCAACATGAACTACCGTCAGCCACCTCTGTCTGAACCACCGCGACCCATCACCGACCATCACTATTTGAACCACTATGACCACCATCGATCTAAACCATCGCTAACCACTGCCGATCAGAACCACCATCGACTACCACCGATTTGGACCACAATAGTTGGATTTCAGTTTCAATTTTTTTTAAAAAAAGGCTATTTTTGTCATTTACCTATATTTCATTACAATTCCAAAGCTACATTATGTAAATCAAACATACATATTCCAATTCATTTAACATATTTCATTCAAATGTCTATCAACCAAACAGATGGTCAAACCTGATATCATTTCATTCCAATTCCTTCAAAGTGAAATTCTTTTGACAGATTCTATTTCATCAAAAAACATTTTGCGAACCAAACGCCCCTTAAAGCTAAATGTTCAAAAGATTTTTTTATTTATTAAATATATAAAATATTTTAATAATATAGTTAATGTTGTAATCTCTCACCGTTTAAGTTAAAAATAATTTTATGTTATAAATTTTGAATTTTGAAGAATCTCTTGAGAATATTCTTTAAGGCTTCAACATAACTAATCTAAAATATTCTTCAAATGGTTTTGAGCATGAGCCTCCTAACACTTTTAACTAGCCATGGAATGAATCGGGACCCTAATCCCCATCCTTGTCCAGATCTCAATCTTCATCCCCATCTCCATTCTCGAATCTGTTAGGGAATATGATCGCATCCCCATTCCCTTCTCCAATGGGGAACAAGGATCCCAGATGGAAATTGGAGATTTTTTTCCCGTTTATGTGAGATATTTTAAATTAAATGTGTTAGTCACTATTCTCAATTGATAATGGTCCATATTTAAATCTCACATATCTCCAAAAATTTGCTTTTACGAAATATCAAATATTCTTATGGGAACAAAATCACATCACAGATAACTATTTGAACTATTTGATCAAACTCTTTTGCCTTTCCATATTTACTTATCTAAAAAAGTAAAACAAGTCAAAAAAAGTATCTAAAAGAAGATCAAAATGTTATTTTTAAATTTAAAAGATACTAAAATATAATTATTTATAAATAATATATTTAATTAATTAATTAATTATATATATATATATATATATATATATATATACATACACACACAATATATATTTATTAATAAATATATAATATATTTAATATACAGGGATGGGGCGAAAGCGGGATCACGTTACCCGTCCCCTATCCCCGGTTTTGAAGGAAATCCGCGGCCCTTCGGGACGGGTACACCAAGTTTTCCAATACGACGGGTCTCATTACATGCCTAAATTAACCGATTTAGGCACATTTTTTTATAGTTTTAACTTTTTCTAGATTTCCTTTGATTTTTATAACTGAATCCCTGATTTCATTTTCTCTTCAAATGGCTGGAAAATAAATTATTTTTCAACCACGAAATCAAAATTCGAAAGCAAATAAACTCCACACTCGATCGCTCTTGCAAGTTGAACAAAAACAAAAGAAGAGTGTTCTGATTGCATCCGTTAGTAACTTGTGTAATTTTACGTATTCAAAGATTATGAGTATGTATAAAAATGTGTTTTTTGAAATAGTGTTTTGATATGTTTATGTTGATAGAAGTTGTGACACGAAGGGGTTGTTTGGTTGGTTTTATATTAAGTCATGTATGAATAAAGTTGTCTGATTATCTATGTAGATTAATCTGTCTATAAATAGATTGTAATATTTTTTATTTGGGAGAGTTTTTAATAGTGATGTGTTTTTAATTGGGAATGACATGTTAATTTGTGAAAAAGTTCGTTTTTTCTGCATAAACTCTCCCTAGAAGCTTATTGATAAAACACTTTTTATATCATTAAATCACTATCAAACAGTCATTTCTAGTTGATTGAATAAACTATGAGTCTCATTAAACCGATTACAAGCAAACCCAAAGTCTCTACAGTATCGAGTTTTGTTTGGAGTAGACTACACCAGACCAAGAATTGATTTTTTGGTGATTGATTAACCGAGTATATATACCAGTTTGATACGGTTACATCTTGGTTTGTTGGTTTTACGTACTTGTATCAAGTTTTACACATAACAGTAATTACATAATATAATAAAAATATCCATAACTAGAATTTTAACAATCAATTTGATCAAGTTAACGTTGCAATATAACTGATTCATTGATCTTAAGATGATCTAAATACGTCAATATATGTCATTACACGTTTCTATTAAAAATTAATTAGAAAAAATATTGATTATCTACTCAAGTAATATCGTATATATCATAAAATTCAAATAATACTTTAAATAACTTTTAAACTATATTTGATATGTTTTCTTTGTAATTTACAAGTTTGACATCTTATTAATAAAATATAATTTAAATTTAACAATTACCAAATAATCACATATGAATTTACACGTGAATTTATGTGATTTTACAATAAACTCACGTCTAAATCACATTTGATTACAACAACTAAGATTGCGGTTTGATTACAACTAAGATTGCAGGTCAAATCAACTGCTTATCTTTGTGTTGACCGTATTTCATAAACCACAAGGGTGGTGCCTGATTGGTTTAAGTTTGACTCCAAAGATCAAAAGTACGAGGATGCCACAAGTTCAAATCCAAGGAGGAATAAAAAGCCTCTTACATCCATGGAGGTTCAAATAAGGCGACTCCGGACTATTTGCAAAGTAGATGGTCGTCCTGAATTAGTCGGCTCGCATAACGGGTTGGATATCCAAGTTAATAAAAAAAAATATTAAATCATATATAATTTCAACATTCTCATATTCTCCTTGGTTTATGTGTTTGATTCTCTTAGCAGCATTTGTACCTCATCCAATATTACCTTGTGCATGGCATGTCCATATTGTCTCCCATAACTTTACATGCAATTCTCACCTATCAAAATACATTTGACCAAAATATTTGATAATTAATATTAATTTATTGCCATATTTATGATAATTTAAAACGACACCGTAAGCGATATAACAACAACGAATTTCATTCATATAACGAAATCCAACTGTAAATGTAACATGGTTATGCTCAGATAACAAAGTAGATATATATATATATATATATATATATATATATATATATATATCATGGTTGGTCATATACGGTATTAATTATATATAATGATGTCATTAATAATTAAGTTAGATGATTAACATGTCCGATCGATGATCACCGGCCGGGGATATGGGGTTTAAAGCCAAAGAGCTCCGGCGTCCTTGAGAAGAGGAACAAGAGTGCCATTGATATGGCAAGCGATGAGTGTTTCTATGCCACCAAGAAATTTTCCTCCGACGAAGATGGCCGGAATTGGTTGCTGCTGCTCGTTTCCGGTGGCAAGTCGGTAGAGCAAAGCATGGATTTCCAGCCCCGCCGTCTCTCTATCCAGCTCCACCACCGTCGGACCGACGCCGAGCCCGAGAAGAAGCTGTTTGGCTACATGGCCCATACAACAGCCACTCACAGAGAACACCACCACCGCATTTCCGTTAGCCAGGTGGTGCACCCTCTCGTAAACACTTTCCATCTTCGCCTGCGACGCCGAGACCGTCGCAACTCCGGTGGTTCTTTCCATTACAACATTTGATGATTGTGGGTTCGATGTCACCTTCATTTTTCTTCCAAGAAAACCCTAATCGAATAACTGAACTGTTTTAGAGAGAGAGAGAGTGTGTGTGTTTCTAGCTAGGGTTACGATTAAAGGATGTTTCTAGGGTTTGGATTTATAGGGTGGTTCTAGAGAGGGAAAGAGGAGAGAGAATTGTGACCGTTGGAGGATGCATACTTTGAAGTCTGTATATATTACAGCTTTATAAGCATGCTTATATATTCTTCCAGTAGAACATATACATACATACGGATATATATATATATACACACACACATATCATATCAGTAACTACTTCTGTACAACTAGACCTTTGTCGTTGATTTACTATCATGGAAGACTTGAGAGGAATTTGAACGTACAACTCATGATGCACAAGATACAACTCAATGTTTGGCTGCAAGAAATTCGTGGGTAACAGGAGTCACTGAGATCTTTGGTCAAAAGATGACTGTTTGTTATTTTGACTGTGGCAAATGTATGAAATATGAAACTAGTGTGGCATTTTTATAAAGAGAAATGGAAGTTTAGTGGTTAAAGTAGTAGGTATTTAGAGTAATTAATTAACGACGGATTAACCGCTACATATGATCAAGTTTCTAAAGCATCTCGACAAAAAAAGACCGGTTATCGACTCAAGCAAAGAGTTGTACAAGATTTCAGATAAGATTTCAGACTGTCGATACTTTTAAAAGACTCGGGACTGGTATTGTGATCATAAGAATTGTACGTTGACAGTTTCAGGTTCCTAAATCTTCCACCAATTGAAGAGGGCATACTTCAAACTCACCATACACTAACCAAAAAAGAAAAGAGCACTGAACAGTGGAGTGACTTCGAGGATATTACTGATTGAGGAGCGGATAAATTACTGATATAGAATCGATTAGATTATTAATCGATCCAATGCAAATTTGACCAATTGAGAGCCCAAACCATCCCATAAAAAAGTTTGATTGTAAGAGCATATCCAATAGAAGGTTATTATAAGAAAAAGTATAGCGTCTTTTAAAAGATAACATTTAAGAGAGTTCTTAAAAAACGCACATCCTTTCGGTTCTTGTACAAGAACCTTAATTTCTATCTTAAACTTTATGTGAAGTGATATTTTATTAATTAGTTTTTTTAAATTATATATTTGATATTTATTTATAAAGATTTAATAATTATTGATGTTGAAAATTACATGGGACCCACAACACAGGTTCTTATTAGAACAATAATTAAGAGCTTTTACAAGTTCTTAACGGAAAATCATAAAAATGTAGGTTCTTATAATAACTTTCATTGGAGATTATCCAAGTATAGTTATCCATTATACTTTTATTTTCGTTATTGATCAAAAACACAAATATACGTAGAATGTGGTCTTCTGTTTGAGCACTTTCGTTGCATACATCAAAATAGTAATAGCTTTGAAGGAGTATATACCAGACCCCAAACCGCGAACTTTTTTTCCCCAAATAAACGTATATGGAACAAGGGATAATTCTCGTATATCTCTCGACATTTAATGTTCATGTCTTATATCCATGTCGTCTTTGACAACCACGCCATATTTTCATTTTAGGTCCTAATACTTTTTTATTTAAACGCATTGTCTATACGTAAGGGAGCTAAAATTATGAGAACTTGCAAAATTATAAAAACCTTTTGAAGATTATTGTGTTTATTATATTTTTATTAAAATATTTAAAACATTTTATAAAATAATCTCTATTTTTTTAAATTCTAGAGAAATTATGGAGATGTTTTTGGGGATTTTCATTATTAAAATTCTTTAAAATGAAGGGTCAAAATCCAAAAAATATTAAAATTTTTATGCCTTCAACTCCAACAAATTTTTAATTATAAATTTTTTAAAATTAATTATAATATTAAATAATTTTAATAAAATTTTATTTATCTCTTATAAATAATTAATTCTATCTAAATTTGGAGGATTTTGTGTGCTCCAGAGAAAGTCTTGCAAAACTACTGGAACAAATAACCTAAAATCTCTATAATTTTTATTTTCCTTGTTATATATTTATTCAAATCTCTTAAAATACAATAACTTATTAGTATTATATGTAACTTATTAAATATTTATATTTAAATTTTATAAAACTGTCTGACAACCAACTAATCTATACTATATTATAAAGCATTTGACAACAAAATTCTTAAAAATCATTTTTATGCATGAAGTACTGTATATTGATGTACATTACTTAAAATTCAAGATTACAAATAAATTATGCATGATTACAACTTATTAAAGCTCTATGTTTGAATTCGTGTAACTAACCGCGGATAAACATAATTAAATAGAGGATAAACATCTCATTTTAAAATATAAAAATTCTAAAATATAATTAAGATAATTATCGAGTTCTAACAAAATAATTAATTATTATCTTTATAATAGAATTATATTATTAAATCAAATATAAATTTTATATTTTATTCAAAAATAAAAATATCATCGTTTTTTTTTCAAAATCACATAAGACTATATCATAACATCTACTGAGATAAATAATAAAATAAAATATTAAAATTAAGATATATCTTGTTGCATTACGTAAGTACTCTTTTAGTAGATACATAATAAACATCCAACATTGTTAATAGGACACAATAATCCATCAATTTAGTATTTTTTTTACATTTAAAATAGTTTTAATTTCTCATTCTTTATTTATAATAAAAATTTTAAATCTTATTATATTTACAGGTATACAACTAGTAATCATAAAAATGTTGGGAAAATAGTTTGAACAATTCCTGTTAAATATTTTTATTAAATTTTACAAAATTATCTATTAACAATAAAATACTTCATCGGGTCAATATAAGTATCTAAATTCTTATTTTTATTCGTTTAAAATAAGTATTTATTTTAAAAAATAATATATGTTTTTCAAGAATGAAACTTAATTTAAAGAAAGTAACAACTACATTTATTTATATCAAAAAGTTAAATCATATACTGAAAATGTAAAAAAATATATTAATTAAGAAAAAACCATAGTTAATAAATAATAAGAGTATCTCAAACAGATATGCTATAATTTTTTTAAGATAAGTACTAAAAATCATAATATCTAAAAAACAATACAATCAATCCCAACAACTACTCTATTCTAACAATTTTAGGATTAACAATACTATAATAAAATAATATTTTTTTTAATCCTATCAGAGATTTTCATATTTTTCTAAATTTATCATATAATATGCGTAAATGTTATCGAATAAAACTCTGTTAAATTACCAAAATTTCTATTATAATATAGCTAATAAAGATGCTATAGGCAGTCATTTACCTTAATGTTTATCCGGTAAGTAGGGACGGACCTATAGTTGGGCACACGGTGGCACGTGCCATCGTATGGTAAAAGAATTTAGGTTCGTGAAAGGTGCAACCGTATTAATATGTTGTGTATCATCTTATGTATTTAAATCTACAATGAAAAACAAGTTTTATTTGGTATAGTTGGTTTGCAAGGCTTTTATTCCATCCAGACTCAAGTTCGAATCGTGTTAGTGTCATTTTCTTAGCCAAATGGTGCCACCATTTGATTTTTTTTTCTTTCATATAGTTGTTTCTTATAGTCAAAACAGTACTATCATTTGAAATTTTTTCCATATAATTTTTTCTTATAGTTAAATGATACCATTGTTTGAAAAATTTCTGGATCCATTATTGCTGGTAAACACTTACCATTGATAGTTAACACTTACCATTGATAGTTAACACTTACGTTTAATTTGTCGGATAAGATTTTAGTATTAAAACGACACTGTATATAACAGTTTTATATATCAAATACTTATCAGGTAAGATTTTAATTCAAATCTATTAAAACAACACTGTATTCAACATTTTTATCCGTTAAAAGAGAGCAAAATATCAAGTAATTCGAAGGAATGGCACCCATTTGGAAGCGAGTGGGAGTGAGTAAAAGTTTTGATGCGTTTCCAAGGCAGGTCCGGCAGAGCTACCAGAACCGACATATCGCAGTCCACGCGCCGTCCCAACAGGAGGACTGCAATCCCAACAAAATAAAATACAAATTCTCTTTTCATTCAAATTACCTGAAGATAAGCGTTAGCTCACGTTGAATATGACTCCACCGTACGGCTTAGTAAAAGGACCAGGAGGCGTGAGCACCGTACCATCTACCTGCCTTCAACGCCAGCCAGCCAGCCATCGGAACCAGAAAACAACAACTGTACGTTCCTTCTGATTTTGTTTTCTGTTTTCATTTCCGAATTTCATCTCCTTAAAATGCATTTTCATTTCCGAAATTGCATTCTTCATCCGAAAACAGCCGGTGAGAATTTTCATTTTTGATGATGAATGCAACGCCAGAAACAGTACCGACAAACCGACAGAGCACCGCCTTCGACGCCGCCGCTAGACAGTCGCAGATGGGTTGTCGTTTGCCGGAAATAGTCAGCAGCGAAAAGCAGTTCTTCGCTTCTCCTTTTCTAGGTTCCACAGAAACGTCATGTTAAAATAATAATCAGATTTTTAGTTTGATGAATATGATTATGAATCTATAGAACATAAAATAATCAGATTTCAAACTAAAATTGTGTCAATGAAATATTTAGATTCTTAGAACATTATCAGTTACATTAATCTGTTTCTCTTTGTCTCAGGACTTTGAATCCGATAAATGGATAGTTTTGAGAACCAGGAAGGAAGAAGAGCCTAAAATCGAATACACATCAATTCCATAGGAGCTCCTTGTTGAATTCAGCAAAAACCTATGATAATTTTGTTACTATATAGTGATCCTATTTCTCCATAATCTTCCGATTCCATCAACCATATAATGGAAGAACTGAAACACTACACGAAAACAAGCATCCAATGGTCTGTCAACGTACAAATACCAACACGATCCACAAGAGGTCATATCTCTAATCCTTTCCACAAGAGTTGTTAAGCAATTCGTATCCCGTTGTTGAAGGAATGCAGATTGGACGTATGCAGATGCTGCGTGCTTCACAAGAACATTCTTTATAGAAATGTTTGAAGAATTGATGAATTGATTGTCGTCGGTGCTCATCACATGGAAATTCGACGAAGAATTTGGTAATACATCCTTCAAGCTTATATACCCACGGTAATCAATCTCTGGATCATCTTTACTTATGTTTGAATCAGTTTGTTTTATTAACTTGAACGATCGAATTTGCTTTAACTTTTGGGCTTCTGGATCCATGACGATGATTAGATGCCTTTTCTGTTAAGAATTTTGAAAGGATTGGAGGTCTTTTGAGTTCATGTTTTTTTGTAAAACGATCAAAGTTTTGATCTTAGTTTTTGAGGTCAATCGGTTTCGTTGTGTTTTCAGAAGAGAATGTAGTTTTGTTGGTCGGTTAAAAAATTTGTGATGGTCCTTCGAAGTTGGATCATCACAAGAGTAGGAATCGATTGATCTTTCAAGATTGTTTTATTGGATAATTGGATAATCAATGATACCCAAATTAAGTTAGAACCATAAACCGTAATGTTTGGTTACAGGCCTGTTCCTGACATTTTATATGTCCTGTACGAATGTAAAAACATGACTCACTGCAAGAAACAAGGCAAGTCGTTGCTAAAAGTTCATTTATCATCAGAAAGAGTATATAACAACATGTCGTCGCTAACTTGTGGCGGAAACAAATCATCGCTAAAAGGTGCATCGTCAAAACTCATTTTTCTTGTAACGACACTCGGTAAGTACGAAAAAATTTCAATAAATGTTTTTATTTACCGAGGAAAAAATCTTATTTTTCTTTATCATAGATATATAACAGAGTACTTAAATTTACATACTTCTTATTAGGTAATTTGAAACCAAGAGTATAAAAACTATGGTGGATAAATTTTTATAAAAAGTAAGAATTTTTTTAGTTCATAACAAGAAATATGTGTTATTTTGATATAAAAAGAGAATTCACATGAATGAAGTAATCATGAGGGTCAATGAAAGATTGATAATAAATAAGATTATCAAGGTTTTCTAGGCAAGTAAACAAATGAGGATCAATAAGAATATGAAAGAAAAGATGATCCATTGAAATCCAATAAGAATAAATAATACATTAAACATATAATACGAAATCTTAATAAATGATTGTTTGAGTACTTAAATAGAATCTTGTGGTGTGGTGGAATTCCAATTAAAGATACATAAGTCAAACAATTGATGAAAATATTCAAATTATATTTTCTTTCTTTTTTGCTCAACTAAAATAAGACGTTATGATTAAAAATTTATGAAACATGACATATATAAAAAACATTATTAAATACATCTACTATAAAAAATTTATTGATTAATCACAAAACCATGAAACACATCATAAATTATAAGAACAATAAATTGATTGTCAAATGATGTAAAATATTTTATGTAAAAGTAAAAATAGATAACAATAGTCAACAAAAACAATTAGATTAAGATAACCAAATAGCAATAGTCAATAGACGCATAAATTAATAAAAATATCCAACATAAATATATAGTAATAGCAAACAAATGATCTTAACGTTGAATTGTTGAAGTACGAAAATAGTCAAACATATATAGATAGCAAAAGCCAATATCATTAGACCTTGTTGGAAATAAAAAAATTAGAGAGACAATAAACTATAGCATATAATAAATGTCCAATTAATTTCCTTTATTTTCTTCTCCAATATAATTAGTTGATATATTTTTGGACCCTAATTATCTACTAAATTCTTTTTGTCTTTTATTATATGCTACAATTTTTTGGATTTATTTACTTTATTAAATTCTTGTAGACTATTATTGTATTTTATTGATAAAATATAGTTTTGTTCCACCTTGTTCAAAGGGTGGGGTGAAAAATGCTTGTTTCACTTTGTTCATGTCTGTTTCATAAAAAAGTCTTGTCAAACATGAAACAATGATCCATGTTCTTTTCTGTCATGTCTAATGTATTAAACGCATCCTAAAGAAGTAAACGCAATTGCATATCTTTATTATGATATAAGACATTTTATCTTATATTTTCTAAATTTTTCTAAAATTTAAGTTTATAATTTATTGTTGAATATAAATAATTTTTTTAAAGCTCTAACATGTGAACTCTATAAAAGTAGCTGAGATCAAACACGTTCACATACAATATAAATGGTGAACACTTATATATAAGGTGGAGCGTCATTAGTTCAACATTATAGCCCTTCTTAGTGCCGTTTATCAAATGCTTACCTGGGTAAGTGTTTATCAAGTCACATTAACTTATAGGATGAATAAGGCAATGACCAAGAATCTTACAGGTAAGAGCAAAGACAAGGATCACGAGTTTTACCTGATAATTGATAGCGATAACTTTTACCACGGTTAACCCGGTAAATTGTTACATACAATGTCGTTTTGGTGGATTAAAATCTTACCTGGTAAGTAAGCTATAATATTGAATTTTACTAGTAACGCTTATCGGGTAAGTGTTTAGGTAAGTTGTTCTGAACTTGTTGAAGTAGAAGAAGTACTATTATCAAAAGATTGTGCCAGATCAGAGTCTCCCCCCGCCAAACCCCTCTCATTTACATTTTCCCTCGTAGCACAATCTTGTTCAGGTACAAGGCATCTACAGCTAAACCCTCATGACGCTCAGCTGAGACATGGGGTGATCCCGGGGAAATTTCTGCCGGCTCTAGTTGAACTATATGATCTATAACTCTCCTATATTCTAACACAAAGTGAGAACTCTGGTCGGCGTAGGCTAATAGTTCATCAGGTATATTCATAATCGAATCAAGATCTTCAACTTCTGTGTGCGGTCTTAATAATTGCATCTCGTAGTCTGGTCCAAATGGTTTGTCCAGCCTAGAGGGAATGTTCTTGTTTGACCGCATCATTGCACGTATGATCAGTTGAAGGAATCGTTGAAAGAGAACGAATTTCCGAGCCTTGGAGGCAAAAAATTTCGCGTGCACTAATTCTTCCAGCTTGTTCCATATCACCATCGTAAATCATAGTGTCGATTAAACACTATTCCATGAAAGAACTTGAGGAAAGAACTACTGCAAGTGTTTACTCCGACAGTTTGGATGTGAGACATCTGTTTAGTATTGTGAACAATAAATGTCATACCGAAGGTAGAAACTTTCTTCTAAACTGCGACGGGTTAGTAGAGTATCCGAGTCTCTTGATGTCATGGCAGAGCTCCTCATTAGAAATAAATTCTTCAAAATCACCAAATCCGAACACAAAATTAGGTTTTGGCAAACTAAAGATCTTCCACAATCTCTTTGGAGTTAAACGACTCATGAAATTGTCTACATGTCCTTCAAAGTAGTATTGGTTCCCTTCTTTGACGTAGGAAATGGTGTACCAAAACTGTTGTAGGTATACGAGAGGGACATCAGCCGTAGCTGTAAGAGCGTAGGCAATTGGATGGCCTTTGAGAATTTCAAGTATAATTGAATATTCAACGGACATTTCGAAGTTAAGGTGGTCGTTGTTTGGTTTAAGGTTGAGATATAAGGCTTTTGGGAATATGAGTTCATCGAGGTCGGTATTATTTGCTGAATGGGAGTATGAGGGTGGTAGAGATCTAATTGATGAGATGGTGTTTTCATCATCAGACTCATGAATTGAGTTCAGATTTTCCATAGCCAACATTTTACCCGTAATAAATTAAATTCCCAAAAATAACAGAAAATTGGCTCAAAAACTCAAAGTACCACTTTTTGCCAATTTTTTTTGTAACATTGTCTCTCAAAACTTGAAAAAAATTCACTTTGGCTTTTATAGCTCAACAAAAAAATAAAATTTTCTTACACTAAAAAAATATAAAAAAAATTGAACTCTCAAAAAAATAAAGCTAAACTCTTAAAAAAATGAAAGTTAAAAAAAAATTAAACTAAAAAAATTTAAACTAATTTTTTTTCTAAATCTAAGAAAATAATACTACTAAAAATAATAGTTATCGCTCAAAGTTAGAAATTTCTCATCGGTCAATGAAACATATCACTCAAAGTCTTAACTCTCATCTGACAAGGTTTCAAATACACTCATCGCTCATAGCATTGATACTCCTCACTGGTCAAGATAAAACTCTTATCGCTCAAACATTTTTTAAAGCAGCTCATCGCTCACTTAAACAAATCACTCATCTCTCAAAAGAAATTTAAAAACACTTATCGCTCATATGTTTTCATCTCACATTCAACAACAGATCAGTGTTGATTTGAACCTTATCGCTCACATCTGAAAATCTCATATGAAACATATTAAGGAAGCTTTCTTGTCACTCAAGAATAGTTCATCGGTCAATGATTTAAACATTTAAGAACAGTTTCTATTTAAGAGATTAAGATGAAACCTTTTTAAATTTTAGATGAGATTTAAACAGATTAAATCCAAGATTAAGATTCAACAGTCCAACAGTCCAAAGAAAATAGATGAAATGAAAGATCTTGAATGAACTCTTGATTAATGATCGATGAAAGGAATGAAGAACTTGATCGATGAAGATGAAGAACTCGTCCGATGAAGTATAAGAAATGGCACGGTGAAGAGAGATAAAACAAATGAGGTAAAAAATGAAAAGGACATCGGACACCCTTTATATAGGGTTAAAATTGAGACGTTGGGCAAAGAATGATTGGATAAAAAAACAAGTCACGCGGATTGAAGACTGTTAAGGATGACACTTTGTCCGATAACAAACTTCATCGAACAAAGCCTTGTGCGATGAGTAAGGTCATCGCTCAAAGCTATGAAAGACGAGGGAGTTCATCGCCGAACACTTTGGTCGATGAACAAGCTCGTCGTTCAACCTTTAATCGATGAACTAACTCATCGTTCAAGTGAAAGATAAGGATTTCAATGATTAGGCCTTGGACGGATACGACACTCATTGCCCAAGACTGCATCCGGAGACCTATTCATCAGTCAAGTTTTCGGAAAGATCACCAAATCGTTCAAAGTATGTCCGGATACCCTCTTCCTTGGACAACACTATGTCCGGATTGGACCTTTATCGGGTAACACTTTATCTGGATAGGGTCCTCATCGGACAAGCCTTTGTTCAGATAAGGCTTCATCTCTCAAAACTTCATCTTCCAAAAATCTTGTAAAATTATATCAATTAAATTCCAAATTTATAATCACATATGAATTAAAAGTATTTACTCCCTTTGAAAAATGATCAGATAAAGATATTCAAACACCCCCCTTAAATATAGATCCCACATTAAAAAACATTTGATCAGAGAAAATATGATTACTGACATATGTTTTGAAAATACAGATATTTGAAAACATTGAATTTGACATAAATTGAATTCAATATAGATGAAAATCATAAGTTTATCAGTCAAAGACATTGACTAATAAAATTAGGATTATCAATCTATTGAATAAATTTTATAAAAAAATATATCATATTTTCAAATTTAGCATGCCTAACTTAGATATTAAAAAGCTAAAACGTTTTTCTTCTAAAGCTTTTGTAAATAAGTCGGCTAACTGATATTCTATGTTAACAAAA